TGGATGTGGTTGATAAGCCTATAAGACCTTTGCTACTTGCAGGTAATAAACTGAGTAAAAGGTTGTTTGTTTTGTTTTCTGCCAGTAGTTTCTTATTTAATAAATATTTGTTGCAAAGTTTCTTACTTTTAATCATTGCCTCCATGCTGGACAAGTTTACTTATGGAGTTGTAATACATTAACTTAGTATTTTCAGAGTTTTTTATTTAGAGTTTATTCTTTTTTGTTTCAAGTTTAGTTTAAGTAATCAATGAGAAAGTTTTATAAATTAATTTTTAATTTAAATAATATTAAAATATTAAAATACCAAAATACAAATTAAATTACTTTGAATATCTATACTATACTATAATAAGCTACTTATTATTATCACTCACTATTGAAATAATAAATCTAGATACTACTAAATATAAGCATATTAATTGTCAAAATTATTAAACCAACTACTATTGAAATTATAATCCCATATACTGCTAAAATATCTATTTGTTAAAATTGTAAATTAATCTAATATGCTGTAAAAAATAATATAGCTATCTATTATTAAAATTATAAACCCACTCAATTTTGAAATCACAAACTTCTACTATGAAACATTAATCCACTCATTATTAAAATCATGAATATACCCACTATTAAAAACCCATTAATGAAATCGTAAGCCTAACCATTTTATAGACTTAATCCCTCTTGGAAAACTTTAAATTTCGATAAGGTTTTCGGCTTTTGGTGCGACTTTTGTTTTATGCAATGAATTTACTAAAGTATTTCAGTAGATCAAAATACAGCCAGACCTTTTTAAATGCATTGTGGCGGGACAATATATAAAAATGAGTCAAACATGCATTTAGAGAAATACTGTATTTAGGGAAGTAAAAATCTATAAATGGTATATTAGAAAATCTATAAGTAATATATTAGTCAGGCCGAAGTAAAGACATGCAATTAGGAAGGTTGCATTTAGAAAGGTTTGACTGTACTTTTGGAATTAAAATAAAACTAAGTGACTTAATATGTTTAGGATCAACAAAAAAAAAAGTAGTGTAAATATATCTATCAGCACATAATTAATGTCAAGAAGCGCTTCATAATTACGTAATCTGAATATAATACAAAGCTTCGTCAGAAATACATCATTTTGCAAATAGCAACAAATTTCGCAATCATAATGATTTGATAATCATGTCGTAGTTGCATTGTATGCACATGACAGATCACCGATTTTTATCTTGTACGTACGTACAAGAATAGAGGGTATGACAGGATCGGGTTTGTATCAAAATCCCGACAAACAAAATCCAAAAACAATCCCAATAACTAAAAATCCCGACTGTTAAAAATCCCGACTGCCAAATATCCCGATATTTAAAAATCCGACAATTAAAAAATTTGATGAAAAAAGTCATAAACGATAGCTAACCCTCGCCTAACCCTTATCCAAAAGTAACCTAACCATAAAGTTAATTAAATTATAAGAGTCTATTGTGCTTTATAACATACCTCATATTCGGGATTTTCTACCTATAAGTTTTGAATGTCGGCATTTTTAATTGCCTGGATTTTTTTTGGCAGGATTGGCAGGCACCCGGCAGGTCTGACATGAGTTTGAAAATATCAAAGTTTTATAATTTATGCACACTTTTATATTGTTTTTACCTAAATTGATTAGATCTTTTATTTAATTTTACATTAATTATACTTAGCAAATTTTGATCAAAAATGTTTTTGAAACTCATATAAATAATAATATAACCTTATAAATATTATTATTAGTTAGGCTAATTGCATTGAGCTTTTGCAAATACTACTTTTAACTATTTCTAACGACATCTTACCTTGTCACGAGCTGTTATCAAGTATGTCATTTCCACCTGTCAGACTAAAACTGATAATTAATTTAAATTCCAATATCCGATAAATTCTAAATCAACATCTATGGCTTGATTAGATCACTTAAACCTGTCATTCTAACGAGGGATAAATTTTCGCAGGCAAATTTTTCTGCAAAATCTATCATTTAAGTGATAGATTAAAATAGAAATGCTTTATTGAATTTGATTAATTAAGGTAGTAAAATATTTTTATCAAGCTTTTAAAAACATTTTTCATATAATACTTCTTATTTGTTAAAATATATTTTTAAGTTAAGATATTTTTAATTTAAGATATTTTTAAGTTAAGATATTTTTAAGTTAAGATATTTTTAAGTTAGGATTCTTTATATAAAAACTAATACAGTTTATAATAAATATTTCTAGCTACGTATATAAATTTAACTTTATCTACAAGTTATCTATTAGTATTATATTATAATCTACTGTAATTGTAAGTTCTTTATCTAAACGCTTTTATTCAATACTATTTCTAGCCCTTTAATTCGTATTTACAAAAATACGCATTATTCTTTAAATTATAGAATTTTGCAGGAAAATTTTATCCGTTTTAGTATTACAAATTTGTTATTTACTAAAAATGTTATTATATTTAGGTGAACCATTTTTTATAATATTTAAAAAAAATTATAATATTGTAATATATCCTTTGAAATTATAAGAAAAAAAATTTAACGACACAAAATTTTTTTTAATTTGAAAAAAACAAATTGTGTACGTAAATTTAATATAATATAAATAAAAATACTTTGTAAATAAGAAAAAAAATTTCAGATAGTCACATGGGGATAATAACGTTTAAGTAACGGTAAGAGACGGAATTAGTATCATTGCCTGCATTTTATTTGAGCTTCTTATCTGTAATGAAGTGAAAGATCATATCTTATGCTTTTTGATAACTGAACTTATGATCATTTCTAATAAAAGTATTACAGTAAAAACATGGTCTTACCATCTGGATGTAACGTCCCTCAAAAATTTTGTCAAGAATTTTGCACAGAGATCATTAAGTTATTAATTTGTGAAACACAAAATTTTAAGTCTCCCTGGTTATAGTTCGATAATGGTTGTACATATTGATTTTATTATTCTTATTATTAAAATTGTTTACTTCAGGTAATGTAACATTGGAACAGAATACGTAAGATTAACCGGTATCTGGGAAATTTGGTTTTTCATGTCTATGGTTATATTACCTCGTAATACGTAAATTGCGGGGAAATTCCCTTCGACTGATATTACTGATTTCCTTATTTAGAAGTGCATTTAAAGCGAATCACTAATTCTAAGGAGAGTTAGTCTAGGATTATGATTAGTCTTAGGGTTAATAATTATAGGTAAAATTGCTCCCTCGACATTTTTTATTAGTGTTCAAAGACAGGTTTTGACACTCTTTCTTGTATTTTCAGCTTTTTTTTTGCTTCGTAAAAATTTAATATTTTGATTGGTTAATCGATGTATATCTCCAAATAAGGAAATTGAAATTTTCTAACAACAATTAGAATACCAACACTTAATAGTAAATTAGCATTGACAACCAGTATTTCGCATGAGATGAACAACGTGAAAATTTAACACAGGAATTTGTGTTTCATTAATAGAATTCTAGAAATTGCGTAATATTATTTATAGTTAACAGAATTCTAGAAATTAAAAAATTTGAAATTCAAAGTTTAATCTCATTAATTGTTTTTTTTAATTCAGTAATTAAAGCTCAAATCTATTTATCATTAACACTACGGAATTTGAAAATTTTAATGTTGCAGCACATTAATAAATACTCGAAGAAACACTAAATTAAATTTATTCTTTATATAGTAAATTAAATACGTAACGTCGGACAAACAATTTAAGTGTTTGTCAAAGTTTGAAACAAACCTATTTGGAATGTCATTACTCAGATGACAACTTATATGACAACTTATATGACAACTTATATGACAACTTATATAACAACTTATATGTTCGACAATTATTAGTATTCTAAATCATTAGACACACTAGTGACTACTCAAACTTCGGTCTATTACCGGACTTAGCACTGACCAGCAACATATTTTATAACTAAATTCACTTACATATTATTTACACATTATATATGTCATTGAGCAAGACTTCAGCCCGGTAAATTATAAATAATAAACTCAAAAGTCAGAAGCCTAGCTTTCTTGACAGTACTACAATCGTCTACATAATGATAATCGTCAAAAGCCATGCGATTTATAAATTTGGTTCAATCCTTTGTACACGTTATTGTGCCTAGAGTTGTGAGACAATGCAAATTTTTTCCGAGCAAAAACTTAATATCATATTAGGAAACATAGAGGAAAACATATAACCTAGTACTTTAACTAATCTTCCATAACGTATAAAAACGCGTTGAATTCTACTTTCAAAAAACAGGTCCATTTCACATATCCATTACACGCGAATAAATATGAAGCATTTTACATCTGTCATTCTCTTCTTAATTATTGCTTCTATTGGAGCAACCGTCGGTGCTATCATTCCAGGAACATATTTTGACCGGATTTTTTTAGTCATTTTTGAAAACACTGCATATACTAAAGCGTTAGCACAACCTTATTTTAAGAACTTAACCCAGCGTAGTAATGGACTTCTTCTTTCCAACTTCTTTGCAATCACACATCCGTCTCAGGTAAATTTTATTTTTATTTCTTTTGAATTTTAAAATTTAAATTTAAAAATACCTTTCTTGTCTTTAGCCAAATTACATTGCTGAAATTTTTGGTTCAACTGCTGGTGTCACGGACGATGCCAATCATGACATTGCCGGAAAAAATTTAGTTGACCTTCTTGAAGCTAAAGGCATCTCTTGGAAAGCTTATATGGAAGACTATCGTATGTGAATCATGTTTATCACAAAATCTTGATTATTTTTGTATTTATTTATTGTATTCATTTATTTATTCATTTATTTATTCATTTATTTATTTATTTATTTACATATTTATTTATTTGAATTTTTATTCACTTTCACCCTATTTCACCCTATTACTATGGTCTATAGCCGGTAACTGTTACACTGGTGCTACTGCTCCTTCTGGCACACATTTATACGCAAGAAAGCATAATCCTTTCATTTCAATGAATACCATAAGAAATAATGCCACTCGTTGTGCGAAAATAGTTCCTGGTACCCGACTTGATACTGATATAACTAATAATGCAGTACCACAATTTGTCTATTATACACCAAATCAAAATAATGATGGACATGATACTGGTGTAGCATTTGCCAATAATTGGTTAAAAAATTGGCTTGAACCAAAGCTTACTAAATCTGCATTTACAACAAATACATTAATATTTATCACTTTTGATGAAGATGACCGTAGTGAAAGTAATCATATCTATGGCTGTCTTCTTGGCACTCCTGTTCGTCCTCCTGCCAATCATACCGACAGTACAAGATATAATCATTATTCTTATTTGGCTACCGTAGAGAAAAATTGGAATTTGGGAAATTTGGGTAGAAATGATGTTGGTGCAACCCCCTTTACCAAATATTTGGTACATCCTTAATTTAATTACTGTATAATCTAGATTAAAATGCGACATAATTAGGATAAATTAATTAAATAGTAATATATATAATTGTTCTAAATAGTAATATATAATTGTCCTCAATAGTAATATATAATTGTTCATAATTATCATACGTTACAAGTCAAGTTTGTTTTTAACCATGACCCGGTTCAATTAATCAAACTTAAATTTGTTTAAATGTATTATTGACTCGGTCAAATTAATTTGACTGAGTCAAGTTAAACAATTTGTTCTAAATAAATTATTACTTTTAAAATATAGTAACGATAAATTTATTGTAAATATAAAGTTAAATATGACTACAAATACATAAATAATGTTACTCTTATTTATTTTGGGAGACCATATTGTTGTCGCCGTGACGTCTGTTACTACATTTTAAGATTTAAAAAGATAATTTCGTTCGCAATGCAAACTTCTTCGCTCACAAATGTACTATTTTGTCTAATAGCGGCTGTACGTAAAGAAAGTTGGATGACTCCATATCACACATGCCTGGCACTCAGAAAATGTGTACCAGATTTGGATCGGATTATCGTTCGGATGATAGTCCGGATTATGGTCCGAAAATAAAGTCTTCATTATTTTTTTCTAACGATAAGACTTTAATTTTCAATTAAATACCGATCATATAAAGCAATATTTAACGGAATTTACAATGTATACACAATAAATAAAAATAATATAAATAAATTTGAATTTTGACATTCTAAAAACATAACTCTATTTATTTCTGTTTAGTCATTTGGCTTTAGTTTATTTCTGTTTAACCATTTGGTTTGTTTTTTGTGACGTTTGTTCTTTAATAAATTATGTACGGTCGAATGAACTCACAATTTTGGAAATTCATAATAGTTCGGTATAAAAAGTGCTATGTGTTTTTTAATAAAATAAACTGTAGTAATTTCCTATAACGAGTTAATTGTACTTTTTTGTGATTAATCTTTTATGTACTATACTTCATCTTAGATCAATATTTTCTTTTTGTGCACGAATTTTTTTAAATTGATGCGGCTAAACTCTAATTTTTGACCTAATTCAACTGTGATGAAGAATCTTGTTGAAATAGGCACTAATTTGCCCATAGTTAGATATTTAGATTTTCATCAAAATATTCCATGCTGTTAAAAGGTTGGTTAATGTCACTAATAATATGTTTAAAAAACTTTTCAACAGACATTATATGCTTGTTTAGATCTTTATCACTATGTAATTATAAATAAATTTTGAATTATTATGAATAAAATACAAATCAATTTCAATAACTTCTTTAAATGACTGAGCATTGCTTATTTTCACAGTTATTGTAATTTTTAACTTGATACTGATAAACTAACAGAAATATTTGCTGAAGTGGTATAGGTAGGTTCGATATATTCAAAGTTTATTTAGGTTTTAGTTTGATGGTTTCTTGTAATTAACGGAATTACAGCTTGTTCACAATATTAAAAACATGTCTATAATAAGTTTTGCATCTTTAACATGAAAAATATTATGCTAAGCTAATGCTAATAACAATAATGATAAAAACTCTTTCTGTAGATCAATTTTACCAAAACCAGAGCAAAAAAGAACTCCAAAGAAAGAAAACTCAAGAAAGTACTAACTAAATGGATCTCAGGCCCTTAAGTAAACCTGCTCAGTGCAGCTGAAAACATAATAAAACAATAAACTCTTCTAGACATTTGCATTGAAACAATAACTACTGGATGAAAAACAAATAAACAACACTCTCTACAACTTTCTACCCACAAGTGATGAAGATTCTATGGACCTGTCAACCCCACCTCAGGAAACATCTCAGGACAACATGCAAACTGTTGACAGCAGTACAAATAATAGTCAAATACAAGCCTCTACACAACAGACCCCCAATACTTCTGGACAACAAAGAAAATTTTTTACTTACCTTCTAGTTTATTTCTCTCGCAAGACAACTAGTCCAAAAACTACAACAACTACTAGTATACAACAAAAGGACAACAACAGAATACACCAAGTAATTTATTAATATTACTATTAAAAACTAGACAAAACTTACCTTCACTGTCACCTTTATCATCCCTAAATTTGCAGATAAAAACTTATTCACTATTAACCTTATCAGAGCAAGATGCATTCCAAATTTGGTCAAATTTCCAGCACAATGCATATATAAACACAACATTGTTACCCAATCAATTCTATTTGATCTCACAAACTACTCCAAATGTAACTTTGTAAACATTAATACCAAACTACCTAGAAATACTTGTAGCTGTGATTTAGAGGTAACAATTAAAGTATATGAAGATACACAAAGAGCTTATATGGCACTAAAATATTTGAAAGAACTACCAATAGTTCACTATAATCTAATAACAGAAATTGATACAAATAATGATAGTCACCAAACTAAAGAGACAAATAATGCAACAAATGCTACACCTACCTCCAAAAAATTATAACTAATACTAATACCCAAACAGTATACAGTAATACAACAGCTTTCATAAACAGAAACAAAACTAACAGTTATACAAATTGAGCTAATAAATGCTTAATAAGTTAATAGATTAACAAGTAATACAGCTGATCACATAATATACAGACCAACTATACAGTTATCTGAAAATCAGAAAGGAAAAAAATGGGCCAGGCTACAACCAATCATTACTGATTTAACAAACCTATCTCCTTCTATCCACTACCTTCTACAATCTCACCTACATATTCAGTTGCTACAATAGATCTCAACCCCTATTTAAAAACCATCCTATAGTGAGATTACACAGAAAGCCTTCAAATTACCAACTTTTAATGCACTAGATAGTATGAAATGGGCAAATCATATACAAAACAAGATAGCAGAAAAAATCAAAACACCATTTGACCAACAGCTCTGGTCATATGACACAATAGCTACAGCACTAAAAACTGCAGCTGGTATTCAACAGTTTGTAGAACACAAACTTAGTTCTATTTCAAGTCAAATAGAAATGCCTTCAGCAATACAACTAAAATTCAAACACTAGAATACAAGATTTTTCACCACATTCACAAGAAATGCTAATATAATGCCAGCACATCAAAGAAAGTATGTGAATCTGTATAATGATGCAACTAGAAATTATAAAACCTCTAATCAAATTATGATTATTGACTAAAATACTCATAATCTAATTCACTTGATGTTAAAGAAAATGCTTATCTCACAATATCTGATAAATACAAATTTTATAACTCTTATACTCTTTGTAATATTTAAACTAATTTATTATACCAGAAGTTTCTTACAGATCCAAAATGAAAATAAACATATATCTAAAGAAATCAAAACAGCAATTAACCAGGCATTACAAGAAAAACTTGCTCTATTACCTAAAAGGCCAAGCAAATTCTAGATATAGTCAAACATATTTTATCATTCAATCTATCTATTATACAATGGTCACACACTAAAGCTATAGTCAATGGACTATGAAAAATCTTCAGATTCGATCAGCTTGCAGAGTCATATTTTGCTAAACTGTCACCACCATCAAAGAATGTAACTAATATACATACTGAACTTTAGCAATATTTTCCTATTACAAACTAACAAGCTCTTCAAAATTTGAGATACTACTGTTGCAACCTTGCTAATTACTATACAGTTAACTCTATTCCCAAAGTATATTTTCAACTCCTGCTACCTAAACAGCCACTCCTTACAACATATCAGGAACTAAACCCAAAGGTCAGAGGATTCTTTCTCTATCACTTAGATACAACAACTATATCACTAGCAGATGTAGTAGCTTTAGTATGACAGTACTATACATTCAAGCTCCTCCTTAATAATTATTTTGCAACTAAACTATTATTCCCTTAAATCTAGAGCATATCAAAACTAGTACACAATTTAACTTTCTAATTACAGACAGCATTGTAGAACAAATCTTTATGTATAAAGCCTCACAAAAATATAGAATAAGATTTCCACTGCCACATAGTATTATGAGGCAAATCCTACCAACAAACTTAATCTACCTACTAGTAACCAGATTATAGCAGACATAATATTACTATACTAATTATATCATCTTAGCAACTTATACAAACTGCAAAACTCCTTTGTCAACATTACTATTTTACAAAAATACTAGAAGAATGAATAAAGATTCCAATTCAAGTACCTACATCCAATCCACCAACTCTAGTGATACAAATGCTATTGAACTACACTTACCTCATATACCAAACAATTTAGAGGACATAAACACAATTTTAGCTTCTTACAATATACAACTAATATTACCAATTACATTACAAACACTAATCACTTCCACTATGCAAACACAGTGTCAGTACTTTACAATTAAAGCTATTACTAGCTTTTTACTTAAGTTACCTCCACTACCATCCTAAACAATATTTTCTTATACAAATCCATCTTCTACCACTACACCAGAAGCTAATACAACGCTGATAAATATGAATTAACTAACTCATGATAACACAACCTACAATCAAACCACTTATAATTGCTACACACAATGCTCGAGAACTTAATCAAATCACAAAAAGACAATTACTGTTTGACTTCTGTTTAGCCCAAAATTTGATGTTATTTTAATTATAGAAACAAAACTAGCATATTTCAGATATATAGATAGAAATCTATATAACCAGTATTATAAATGCTTTTCATCCAATAACTCACTACAACTGCTTTACACCCTAGAGAATCTAGTACAGATACATCTATTTTAATAGCCCAATTACTCACAACATATATACACACTATCCAGATATTACCAGATACTGCAATCGCAATTAATTTATTCTTTCCACATAAAAACAACTTCCATATTATATCAGTATATTTACCAAAAACATATTTATAAACTTTAAACTTATGTTTTTTTATAGTGTTTAGATACGTTAATA